TCCTACTAGTAAATTTCAAACTTTATAATGGTTTATAAAAAATAGCAATCAAATAATACGAAACTAAAGAATGTACAAATGCTTCTACAATACATGTATCTATATTAATACTGTATTTTCAAAAAATACTTCCTCCAATGATTATCATATGCTAAGATATTTCCAAGATCTACTTAATAATGAAAATCATACTTGCAAATCTAAAGGGTTATTTCCCTTTGAACAGAACTATGGTTTAACATATTACTCTAACATTACATATATAATAACTAATAATGTAATTTACTTCAAAATGTTTAATAATAAAGCTTATAATCATCACCACTTAGGAAATAGAAAATTTTCAAATAAATCTGTCACCCCAATTCTTAATGTGAGATAAGACATTTACCATATGCTTAGTCATAATATGATAACAAGTAAAAATATTTAAAAATAACCACTTTTGGATATTAATAAACTGTTAACACAGACATATGTCTTGCCTATTTGTTATTTTGATAATGCAAATGTTGAAATTAAAATAGCAATACTTTAACATGCAAGTTATGCAATATTCAAAGTCAATGAACCATGACTGAAGGTACAGGGCTAAACAACCTCCATGGAAATGAGATGTGCCAAGCTAATACAACTGCAAACCAAATACCATTGACTTATCATAAGTCGTTCCCTTTAAACAAACCTAAACACAAACATTAACTTGTAAACTATGTAAAAGTTTCAAAGACAATGAACCATAATTAAGGGGTGGGGTTATATAATCTCCATGGAAATGAAACTTGCAAATGCCAATACATTTGCATACCAAATATCATTGACTTAACATTAGTGGTTCATCTTAAACTGACCTAATCATAAAACTACTGTAAATTCAGAAATTATTGCGTGCATTTATTATTGCGATTTTGTCATTTTAGACTAAAATGCGATTTTAATTTTTGCGATATTGAGAAAAATCCTGTGTAATTCATACAAAAAATTAAAAAATGCGAGTTCAAATTATTGCGATTATTACCCTGTCGCATTTTTCGCAATAATAAAAACATCGCAATAATTTCTGAATTTACAGTAATACATGTAAACTAAGCAAAAGTTTCAAAGTAAATAGACCATGACTGAGGGGACGGGGCCAAATATTCTCCATGGAAATGAGATGTGCTAATGCTTATACAACTGAACACCAATTAACATTGGCCTAACACTAATGGTTCCCCTTGAACTGACCTAATCACAAACTAATACATGTTAACTTAGCAAAATTTTCAAAGTCTATAGACCATGACTAAGGGGGTAGAGCCAAATAATCTCCATGGAAATGAGATATGCCAATGCTTATACAACTGCATACCAAATATCATTGACCTACCACTAGTGGTTCCCCATAAATTGACCTAATCACAAACTAATACATGTAAACTATGAAAAGTTTCAAAGTCAATATACCTTGACTGAGGGGGCGGGGCCAAATATTCTCCATGGTAATGAGATGTACCAATGCTAATACAACTGCATACCAAATATCATTGACCTACCACTAGTGGTTCACCATGAACTAGACCTAATCACAAACTAATACATTGTTGACGCCGCCGGCGCTGGAACGGGCACACCTATGTCTCGCTTTCTGAATCCGTCAAGGCGAGACAAAAATGAGGTTAAGAACAATGGCCATAATTATGACAGATGAAAACTTCCTTACATAAGGCATCTGAATACGGGTCATATACCTTCAGAAATACATAACATTTTACAAAAATTAGCATCGTCACCGCCAGATCAGCATCCTTATAGATATAAGAAGATGTGGTATGAGTGCCAGTGAGACTATGTCTTGTATTCTGTGACTTTTGTCCTAGCTGAGACAATAAAACAAAGCAACAAAATAAACAAGAAACAAAAACAATTCAGTCCCAGGTGAGACAATCAAACAAAGCAACAAAATAAAAAAAGAAACAAAAAAGCAACAAAATAAAAAATTCGTAAGGGTTCCCCGGATCCCAGTGTCTCGCCTACTTTTGCTTTTAGTCGCAGGTTCAACAAAAATAGGGAAAAAATTATTAAAATTTTCCTCTAGATACATGTTCTATCTTTTGATTGTAAGAAGCTTCTATCCAAGTTTGGTAAAAATCCAGGATGGTTTATGAATCTAATAAATGTTTTAAAAACTTTAACTGCAGACTGTATGTATTGTTAACTGGAAGAAAAACTAAGTCCATTTATAAGTAATATATGGATAAACAGGAAATAAATTTTCACAAAATTTCCTTCTAGATACTAGCTTTTGATCATAAACAAGCTTCTGTCCAAGTTTGGTACAAATCCAGGAAAGTTAAGAAAGTTATTAAAATTTTAAAAACTTAAACCACAGAGCGAATGTAATGTTAACTGGTAGAAAAATTAAGTCCATTTATAATTAAAATACAGATAAACAGAATTTTTTTTTACAAAATTTACTTCTGGATACTATCTTATGATCATAACCAAGCTTCTGTCCAAGATTGGTACAAATCCAGGATAGTTTAAGAAAGTTATTAAAATTTTAATAACTAACCACAGAGTGAATGTAATGTTAACTGGCAGAAAAACAAAGTCCATTTATAAGTAAAATACAGATAAACAGGATTTTTTTTTTTCTTACAAAATTTACTTCTGAATACTATCTTATGATCATAAACAAGCTTCTGTCCAAGTTTGGTAGAAATCCAGAATAGTTTAAGAAAGTTATTAGAATTTCAAAAACTTTAACCACAGAGTGAATATTTGTGGACGCCGCTGCCGAGTGAATGTAGGATCGCTATGTCTCGCTTTTGCGACAAAAGTCGCAGGCTCGACAAGAAGAAACAAAAAAGTTTCAAAGATTCAAATATTCTGAATATACTTGTAAATAGAGATCATTTTTATGACAAGAATTTTTTTTATTGTTTTTCATGAAATATAAATTCTTCTTTAAAATCTGTATTGCAGTACATTGTATACTTTTAATTTGAATCCTTGAATCATAACCCTTTGAAAAACATCAATAATAAGAACGTATTGAGACATGTTTTGCCTGCTTTACAAAAGCAAATTGCAGAAAGTATATTTAAGATTCCATTCTATGCTATAGGTTTAATTAATTACATGATATATGACACTGGAAAATTTTTCTTCACTACTGATTTAAAGCAAATAAATTCAATAACTTCATTGCAGGCAAGACAAAAATCTCAGTTTCAGGATTGATCATTTTGTACCTAAATGCATTTCTCTTATATGACGCTCCTTATTATACCAAGATCCTTTCCCTTTAAAAAACGTTTGACAAATAGGGCATTGGCAGCATTTCACTAGGCTCCTGAATTTCTTTGGATCTTTTGCTCTGTTTTTCTGCCTGACTGAAATTTATCTTATTTTTTAAGTAAAAATAATTGATCTCTCTTAAACATCAAATAAACCAAATAAATTCTAAATCAGTTAAATATCAAAATATCTCAAGAAAAAATCTTTCAGTATTGAATTTCCAATAAATAGATTGCTGTTTGCACAACATCTAGTGCAAAATATTTCACATTCAGGACAAATAACAAACAAGATGTAGTGCGAGTAATTGACCAATGTCCTTGCAACATTAATTTCTCCTTTGTAACTTATCTCCTTCTTCAACTTGTGGCCATACTCCTACCCTATTAAATCTTTTCCAACCTCCTTAAATATCACTGGCTATTTTGATTTTTCAGAATTTTCTTTTTTTTGTGTCTGGCCATAGTGGGAGGGCCCTATTTAAAAGCTAATAGGAGTGATATATATGAAAGACGCTACTTATGGTATATTGTTCTTGTCAACTCGAGCTTTCATTTATGATAAGATATTTCTGAGATTTCTAAAAAGATCATTTCATTTTATCGTGATATAGCAACATTTTAGAGGCTATTATTGACTTATCCTGATGGAATAAAATCTCTACAAAAGATATCTTATTGAATCTTTACCATAGGACATGGGGTTGTCAACTAAAACCAAAGTTTTTGACCTTGACCTTTGACCTAGGAAGTTGTACATACATTATGACACACCCTCTGGTGTTGGTTAATTTACATGTCAAGTATAAACTTTGAAATCATAACGGTTCTCTAGTTATAGAGCGGACACAATTTGTTACGGACAGACGGTACAACAGACGGACGGACGGACAGACTGATCACTATAGGGCATCCGCCATTCGGCGGGGCCCTAATTAAGATAAATGTCCTTGCATACATCACTAGTAAATGAATTTTGGTATTAAATGGCCATTTTGATCTTAACATCATCTGAAAAGTTTGAACAACAAATTATTCAGTCATGGTCTGTCTTTCAGTCAATTTTCAGATTTATCCACTACGGTAAATTCTGTACTGTTCAGACAATTGGCTTGAAATTAATTCTGTACTGTCCCGAAGGTTTTCACACAATTCAGAATGATGCTCGTGTGTACAGATAAATAAAAGCTACTGAACATAGACCAAACAAATCTAAATGATTGCAAGTGAACTGAATGAACAGGACTTATTTTGCTGATATAATTCTTCAATATAATTTCATAAAAATTCTACATGAAATGAAGGTTTAAGAGCACTTTCAATGCAATTTTCCATATATTTTTTATTGAAAGGGACTAAACTCCTTAAAAAAATAGATGATTAGGACTAATTTTTTAACATAATCTGAAAAGTTGATAAATTTCATAAAAAATCTGACAAGAATTGTACATGCGAGAGCCCTCACAAGAGTGGATGAACAGAAGAAAAAAAACATGGACTGACACCAGGTATTTTTGTGACTTCAGTGCCACTTGCATGGGGGACAAAAATAAGTTACAAGCACCTAGAGAATCAAAGCTGCTTTCACACAAAAATTAGAGTTATCCCATTTTAGGTTATTTGTTTTTATCCATTAGTAGGACAGTGATGGATTATTTCATGGTATTGAAAAATCTGTACACAAGATCATTTGTCTTTTTTATGCCCTTATATTTATACCTGAATGAATATGCCTGTAATGCCGGTTTTTACTATGGTTAGCAAAAGGACCAATGAAAATTCTACTACAAAAATCACACTTTAAGTAGTCTAACCCTGGCTCTGAAATATAAAAACATATACCATGAATCAAGAATTTGAATTAAATAAACTGTTGACACAGAGATATGTCTCGCCTATCGGCATAAATTTCATAAAAAGACAATTTGATGGTCCAGCAACATGGTTTATTAATTCAGTCGCTGTACTATTATCTAGAGGGCAGGGCCTTAAAATAATCGTCAAACTGACATGTACTGATAGTAATGAATATTTATACATAATATCATTGATCTATCACAATTAGTTCTTATCAAACCGACTTAAGCAGAAAACTTAACATTGAAAATTGCAAATTAATCTAATGTCACTGGACCATGACCTAGGGGGCAGGGCCTCAAAATAGTCATCAAACTGATATGTACGGATAATAATGCAACTTTATATTAAATATCAATGATCTATCACAAGTAGTTCCTATCAAACTCACTTAAGCAGAAAACTTAACAATTGTTGACACCGTCGATGGAAAAGCAATCCCTATGTCTCGCATGCGAGACAAAAATTATCTTATTATCGAGCTATTGGTTTGAATACTTTTTGTTATCAATTAACACAAGCAATCTACAGAAATGGCAATGAATTTCGTTTGGTATGAAAGAATGAAAAAACAAAAAAATTAAATCAAACAAGACTATTCAGATGATGTTAAGATCAAAATGACTGAAATTAATTTACTAGTGATGTATGCAAGGAGTATTATCTAGCCAAGAGCCTGTATAGCTCACTTAGTTAAAAAATGCTGGCAGTATTTTATAATCGGTTTACCTTTACTGCAATCAGTTATGGTTATTTATAGATTATATTTAGTGGCTGATAATTTTTGCTAAATAAAGTTTACCTCCATCTATAAGTTTCTGCAAAAAAAAAAACCCATAACTGATTAAAATTGTCTTTCAAGGGCAATAAAGCTATAAAAGTTTGATCGACTATTCCAGTCATGTTGACTTATTTGTAGGTCTAATTTGCTCAACATTTTTGCCGTTTCAAGTTTTTCTCCATCAGTTTCTGTTAAAAACTTTTCTTTCAAAAGCAATAACTCACATAAAGGATCAATTTATAATTTCAATTAGTTTCTCTTATATGTAGATATTAACTAACTGATCAATTTTGCTGTTTTAAATTTCTCTATCTATAATAGTTTTCAAGATAATAACCAATAAAATGCTTCGCTGGGGCGCAGCTTGATACGACCGCAGAGGTCGAACCCTGAACAGTTGGGGCAAGTATGGACACAACATTCAAGCTTGATACAGCTCTGAATTTGGATTGTTATTAAATATTTGACACAGCATAGGTTTCTGACACAGAAAGAATGTGGTCTAAGAACTTGAATTTTTTTAATTTATCTATTATGGTCCAATGTCCAAAATCAAAATACATGGTTAGATTCAGCATATCAAAGAACCCCATATTTTCAATTTTTGTTGAAATCAAACAAAGTTTAATTTTGGACCCCAACTTGGACAAACTTGAAAACTGGGCCCATAATCAAAAATCTAAACACATGTTTAGATTCAGCATATCAAAGAACCCCAATAATTCAATTTTTGCTAAGTTTAATTTTGGACCCTTTGGACCTTAATGTAGACCAATTTAAACAAGAGTGCACACGCTGAAATGTCTCGCCTTCTTTACTAATCATTGATATTATGTTGATAGTCCTAAATATAAAGCTTTATTACAACTGTCACATAAACTTAACATTAACCAAGTAAACTAAACATTGACCAATGAACCATGAAAATGAGGTCAAGGTCAGATGAACCATGCTAGGCAGGCATGTACAGCTAACAATTCTTCCATACAACAAATATAGTTGACCTATTGCTTATAGTTTAAGAAAAACAGACGAAAACACAAAAACTTAACACTGAGCAATGAACCTTGAAAATGAGGTCAAGGTCAAATAAAACCTGCGTGACTGACATATAGATCATAAAATATTTCCATACACCAAATATAGTTGAACTATTGCATATAGTATTAGAAAAAAAGACCAAAACTCAAAAACTTAACTTTGACCACTGAACCATGAAAATGAGGTCAAGGTAAGATGACACCTGCGAGCTAGACATGTACACCTTACAATCATTCCATACACCAAATATAGCTGACCTATTGCATGCAGTATTAGAAAGAAAGACCAAAACTCAAAAACTTAACTTTGACCACTGAACCATGAAAATGAGGTCAAGGTCAGATGACACCTGCCAGCTAGACATGTACACCTTACAATCATTCCATACACCAAATATAGTAGACCTATTGCATACAGTATAAGAAAAACAGACCAAAACACAAAAACTTAACTATAACCACTGAACCATGAAAATGAGGTCAAGGTCAGATGACACCTGCCAGTTGGACATGTACACCTTACAGTCCTTCCATACACCGAATATACTTGACCTATTGCTTATAGTATCTGAGATATGGACTTGACCACGAAAACTTAACCTTGTTCACTGATCCATGAAATGAGGTCAAGGTCAAGTGAAAACTGTCTGACGGGCATGAGGACCTTGCAAGGTGCGCACATACCAAATATAGTTATCCTATTACTTATAATAAGAGAGAATTTAACATTACAAAAAATCTGAACTTTTTTTTCAAGTAGTCACTGAACCATGAAAATGAGGTCAAGGACATTGGACATTTGACTGACGGAAACTTCGTAACATGAGGCATCCATATACAAAGTATGAAGCATCCAGGTCTTCCATCTTCTAAAATATAAAGCTTTTAAGAAGTTAGCTAACGCCGCCTCCGCCGGATCGCTATCCCTATGTCGAGCTTTCTGCGACAAAAGTCGCAGGCTCGACAAAAACGGGACTTAAAATTAAAAATCTAAATACACGGTTAGATTTGGAATATCAAAGAACCCCAATAATTCAATTTTTGATGAAATCAAACAAAGTTTAAGTTTAGACCCTTTTGACCTCAATATGAACCAATTTGATAGCGGGGCCTACAAATAAAAAATCTAAATACATGGTTAGATTCAGCATATCAAAGAACCTCATATTTTCAATTTTTGTTGAAATCAAACAAAGTTTAATTTTGGACCCCAATTTGGACCAACTTGAAAACTGGGCCCATAATCAAAAATCTAAATACATGTTTAGATTCAGCATATCAAAGAAACCCATATATTCAATTTTTGTTGAAATCAAAAAAAGTTTAAATACTGGACCCTATCTTGGACCAACTTGAAAACTGGGCCCATAATCAAAAATCTAAACACATGTTTAGATTTAGCATATCAAAGAACCCCAAGAATTCAATTTTTGTTAAAATCAAACTAAGTTTAATTTTGGACCCTTTGGACCTCAATGAAGACCAATTTTATAAAATGGGACCCAAATTAAAAATCTAAAAACACGGTTAGATTTGGCACATCAAAGAACCCCAATAATTCAATTTTTGATGAAATCAAACAAAGTTTAATTTTAGACCCTTTTGACCTCAATATGACCCAATTTGATAGCGGGGCCTACAAATAAAAAATCTAAATACATGGTTAGATTCAGCATATCAAAGAACCTCATATATTCAAATTTTGTTGAAATCAAACAAAGTTTAATTTTGGACCCCAATTTGGACCAACTTGAAAACTGGGCCCATAATCAAAAATCTAAATACATGTTTAGATTCAGCATATCAAAGAACCCCATATATTCAATTTTTGTTGAAATCAAACAAAGTTTAAATACTGGACCCTATCTTGGACCAACTTGAAAACTGGGCCCATAATCAAAAATCTAAACACATGTTTAGATTCAGCATATCAAAGAACCCCAAGAATTCAATTTTTGTTAAAATCAAACTAAGTTTAATTTTGGACCCTTTGGACCTTAATGTAGACCAATTTAAAAAACAGGACCCAAAATTAAAAATCAAAATACACGGTTAGATTTGGAATATCAAAGAACCCCAATAATTCAATTTTAGATGAAATCAAACAAAGTTTAATTTTGGACCCTTTTGACCTCAATATGAACCAATTTGATAACGGGGTCCACAAATAAAAAATCTAAATACATGGTTAGATTCAGCATATCAAAGAACCCCATATATTCAATTTTTGTTGAAATCAAACAAAGTTTAATTTTGGACCCCAATTTGGACCAACTTGAAAACTGGGCCAAAAATCAAAAATCTAAATACATGTTTTGATTCAGCATATCAAAGAACCTCATATATTCAATTTTTGCTAAAATCAAACAAAGTTTAATTTTGGACCCTTTGGACCTTAATGTAGACCAATTTGAAAACTGGACCCAAAATTAAAAATCTAAATACACTGTTAGATTCGGCATAACAAATAAATAAATGTGATCAAAGATTTTACAAATCTAATGCGCCATACTGTGCAATTAAAGATTACTTCTTGAAATTTTTCAATATTTGAAATTTGAAAAAAAAATAATATTTCAAGAATAATTCTTTTTAATTTCTGAAATCTGAAATGAGAAAAAATTGACCCCCCACAATTTCTTTTTACCCCCCCCCCCCCCCCCCCGCCCCCCTTTTTTCCCCCAACAAATTCTTTCCCTCAAGATATGGTCATAATCTCAATTCAAATTTCCAATGGAGTTGGCAACCATAATTACCCATTTAAATTTACCATAGTGCTAACTTAATCTATTTTATAATAGAATTAAAAATATAGTGTCAAATCTTTCATATGGATTTTTTTTGTAAAAAAAAAAGATGCAACATTTGGAGATATTTTTACTGGTCTTCCTTTATAAATATGTATTTCTTTAAACATAATTTAAAAGCAGTGTAAGGGAAGTAACCAAAACGTTGTATTTGGATTACCTCCCTTACACTGTTTTAAATTATCTTTATTGTTCATTAACCATTACTTTATACATGATTTAAAAGCAGTGTAAGGGAGATAATTTCAATGATGTATTTGATTTATCTCCCTTACACTGCTTTAAATTATGTTTTGTACTAAAATATTTGTCCATTAACCAGGACAACCTTGTTTTTCCCCCTTTTTTGCCCCTAATTCCTAAACGGTTTGAGCCATAACCCCCCAAAGCAAATCCTAACCATCCCTTTGTGGTATGGAAACTTGTAGTATAATTTCAGAGAGATCTATACACCGTTCCACAGTTATTGTCTGGAAACTAGAAAATGCTTATTTTTGGCCCCTTTTTGGCCCCTAATTCCTTAACTGTTGGTACCATAACCCCAAAAATCAATCCCAACCTTCCTTTTGTGGTATTTAACCTTATGGTCAAATTTCAAAAAGATCCATTCACTTAAACTAAAGTTAGAGTGCGAAAACCAATGTGTCTTCGGACGACGACGACGACGTCATACCAATATACGACCACAAAATTTTTTGCGGTCGTATAAAAACAGAAATTTTGTGATTCTTTTTAATTTCAGGGCAATAACTCACAATAAGGTTGTTAGATTGGTTTGAAAATTTTGTGGCAAATAAATCTGAACAAGCTTATCATATTTACCCCAGTCAGTTTTGCTTTAACTGTTTTAGTTTTGAGATATAAACCAAAAACTGCATTTTACCCTTAAGTTCTATTTTTAGACATGGGGACATGTTTCTTGATAGACAAGAACTAGATATCATTGAGATGGAAGCCATCTCTGTGGGCCCCGCTGTGAATAATCTGTGGTAAAATTTTTTATCTTTATCATTGGACATGGGGTTGTCACCTGAAACCAAAGTTTTTGACCTTGACCTTTGACCAAGGAAGTTGTACATAAATTATGACACACCCTCTGGTGTTGGTTTATATACATGTCAAGTATAAACTTTGAAATCATAACGATTCTCAAGATATAGAGAGGACACGATCTTTACCATAGGACATGGGGTTGTCAACTAAAACCAAAGTTTTTGACCTTGACCTTTGACCTAGGAAGTTGTACATAAATAATGACACACCCTCTGGTGTTGGTTTATTATACATGTCAAGTATAAACTTCGAAATCATAACGGTTCTCAAGATATAGAGCGGACACGATCTTTACCATAGGACATGAGGTTGTCAACTAAAACCAAAGTTTTTGAACTTGACCTTTGACCTAGGAAGTTGTACATACATCATGACACACCCTCTGGTGTTGGTTAATATACATGTCAAGTATAAACTTTGAAATCATAACGGTTCTCAAAATATAGAGCGGACACGATCTTTACCATAGGACATGGGGTTGTCAACTAAAACCAAAGTTTTTGACCTTGACCTTCGACCTAGGAAGTTGTACATACATTATGACACACCCTCTGGTGTTGGTTAATATACATGTCAAGTATAAACTTTGAAATCATAACGGTTCTCTAGATATAGAGCGGACACAATTTGTTACGGACGGACAGACTGATCACTATAGGGCGTCCGCCATTCGGCAGTGCCCTAATAAAACACAAAATTTGTACTAGGTACCCTACCCTATTGATCATTCAGTCCAAGTTTGGTTTAAATTGATCTAAGAGGTTTCAGAGGAGAATATCTTTGATAAATAGTTTACACCAGACGAAGGACACAATGAGATGGCAAAAGCTCACATTCACTTTAAGGCCAGGTGAGCTAAAATGATATTTGATAATATACATTTTCCCTTGATGAAAAACATTTTGTATCTGTTAGGGTACCTTTCATGAAGTGCAAGAAGTTCAAAGACAACCTACCTGCAGTTGTTCTGAGATTTCCTTGTTTTGACATGCCAACTGCCAGACATTTTTGAAGTCTACAGTAATCGCAAGAATGTCTGTTGTTTCTGTCCATTACACAGGTTTTTTCTAAATAACACTGAAGACCGTTGTCCAAATTCTTCTCCTTAATATACCTCTTATAAAAGAAATCCTGAAAACCAAGTTTAAATTTGTATTAAAATGATAAAGCTGTGTGTCAGAAGTTGTCTTTTGAAGAATACTGTGGATTCATTATATTATTTGGGGGATTGCGTGGGTACATGTGAACCATGAATTTAAATGTTCAACAAATCATAAATTTTCTATTGGGTTGTATGCAGAGTTTGAAAAAAAAAACAAAAAAAACACAAAATTAAATATTCACAAAAATGCAAAATTTCCTCAATTTAAATGATTTGTACATGTTTATGAAAATAAATGAATCCATACACTTATATTCAAGTTATTGCCTGGGAACCAAATGTCTACGGAAAACGACGAAATTGCCATACCATCATACATTATTTTGCAGTTGTATAAAAAGTGGATTGATAATTTCGGCAGTGTTATTTGAAGAAAGTAAAATTGAGAATGGAAATGGGGAATGTGTCAAAGCTGAAGGCCACCAATGGGTCTTCAACAGAGTGAGAAAATCCCGCACCCGGAGGTGTGCTTCAGCTGGCCCCTAAACAAAAATGTGTACTAGTTCAGTGATAATGGACGTCATACTAAACTCCAAAACATATAAATGAATTAAAATTAAAAATCATACAAGACTAACAAAGGCCAAAGGCTCCTGACTTGGGACAGGCGCAAAAATGCTGCGGGGTTAAACATGTTTTGTGAGATCTCAACCCTCCCCTATACCTCTAGCCAATGTAGAAGAAACAAATACACAGCAATACGCACAGTAAAACTCAGTGTCTTCCTGATCCTTTTGTTGTTTTAACTTTCTCTTTTTCTTCTATAGTTTCTGACCAACACATAAAAAAGGGTAAAAATCCTCATTAAGGAGCTTAAAATTGAAGAAGTTTTTGCATAATATGCAAATAAATGGTAATAAAATGCTCCACAGGGCACAGCTTGATACGACCGGCATAGGTCGTACCCTGAAAAGTTGGGGCAAGTATGGACACAACATTCAAGCTCGATACAGCAATTTTTTCCATTTGTAAAGGGCATAACAGTAGAACGGTAAAGTGACGCCACCAAAATTCAAACTTGATCTGTGTTTTGTTGTAAATAAGCATTGTGTATAAGTTTCATAACATTTGGTTAAGGCAAACTAAAGTTAGAGAACGGAAACCAATTTTGGGACGTACGTACAGACAAGGGTAAAACTTAATGCCCCCTCCACAACGACAGGAGCATAATCAAAGCGCGAAAGCGCTGTAAAGGCAGTTAATTACAGGTTGTGTGTATTTTTAGTCCAGTTATATCATTATCTTGCATAGTACATTGTACTTATCAGAGGTGGCTTTCAGTATTTAAGATTTAGAGTTCTCTAATGATATTGAACAAGTTTTATGAATGTCAAATTCTGAGCACTATATGAAGGCGATTGTTCTCACTTGTTTATGAACTAGTTCATTATGTCCAGTTTGTACCTTTTTTATCTATGTTTATAGTCAAATACTGTTTAAAATAGTTTGGCAGTTTCTTTTTAGTAATAAGTAAATGTTATCAACTGTATTTTATTCAACTTTGCAAATGTGGTTTGTTACTGGTAAGTACAATGTATGGATGATAGTTGTTTCATTGGCAATCATAACACATCTCCTTATTTATATAATGATCTATATTCAACGACCTCAGGTACAAAAAAAATGTATGTAACTAAACTATGATGGGAAACCTTTGACTTCTTTCTTTTATATAAACTTTTGATTTGGTACCATAGAACTATGTAGAATAAATGTACATTGCAACATGTCAACTCTTTCAATGACAATACTTTTTTTAGAAACTATAACTCCAAGCAAAATTATATTTCCAAATATAAAGTAATTTATGAATGAAAAAAGAGTGCACACGCTGAAATGTCTCGTCTTCTTTACTAATCATTGATATTATGTTGATAGTCCTAAATATAAAGCTTTATTACAACTGTCACATAAACTTAACATTAACCAAGTAAACTAAACATTGACCAATGAACCAAGAAAATGAGGTCAAGGTCAGATGAACCATGCTAGGCAGGCATGTACAGCTAACAATTCTTCCATACAACAAATATAGTTGACCTATTGCTTATAGTTTAAGAAAAACAGACCAAAACACAAAAACTTAAAACTGAGCAATGAACCTTGAAAATGAGGTCAAGGTAAAATAAAATGCTCCGCAGGGCGCAGCTTGATACGACCGCAGAGGTCGAACCCTGAACAGTTGGGGCAAGTATGGACACAACATTCAAGCTTGATACAGCTCTGAATTTGGATTGTGATTAAATATTTGACACAGCATAGGTTTCTGACACAGAATGAATGTGGTCTAAGAACTTAAAAATTTTAAATTGGATATTCACCTATTATGGTCCAATATCCAAAATCTAAATACATGGTTAGATTCAGCATATCAAAGAACCCCAAGAATTCAATTTTTGATGACATCAAACAAAGTTTAATTTTGGACCCTTTTGACCTCAATGTGGACAAAGTTGATAACGGGCCCAAAAATCAAAAATCTAAATACATGGTTAGATTCAGCATATCAAAGAACCCCATATATTCAATTTTTGTTAAAATCAAACAAAGTTTAATTTTGGACCCTGATTTGGACCAACTTGAAAACTGGGCCCATAATCAAAAATCTTAATACATGTTTAGATTCAGCATATCAAAGAACCCTAAGAATTCAATTTTAGTTAAAATCAAACTTAATTTAATTTTGGACCCTTTGGACCTTAATGTAGACCAATTTGAAAACGGAACCAAAAATTAAGAATCTAAATACACGGTTAGATTCGGCATATCAAAGAACCCCAATAATTCAATTTTTGATGAAATCAAACAAAGTTTAATTTTTGACCCTTTGGACCTCAATGTGGACCAATTTAAAAACGGGGCCCAAAATCCAAAAACTAAATACACCGTTAAATTCAGCATATTTAAGAACCCCAAGAATTCAAGAATAAAACCCCATTGAAATTGGTCAAGAAATAAGCAATTTATACGAAGTATCTTCTTTTGCACAACCACTGGACGTTAAGCAACCAACAATCAATCAATCAATCTTTTGCACAATACTGTGCAATTGAATATTTCTTGCTATTGCGCAATACTGCACAATTGACAATTTATTGCTATTGCTCAATATTGTGCTATTGGATTCTTGCTATTGTGCAATACTGTGCAATTGAAGATTTCTTGCTATTGCGCAATACTGTGCAATTGAAGATTTCTTGCTATTGTGCAATACTGTGCAATTGAAAATTTCTTGCTATTGCACAATACTTAATAATAATTTACACATCCTGTTTGGAGTGTATCTCCTACCATATCATTATTATTTGCTTTTAAATATAAATCAGAAATAACCAACTTAAAATGGAAAATTTTAAAAGAAAAAAAAAGGAAAAGAAGAAAAAAAAGGAAAAAAAAAAAAAAAATCCCCCCCCCCCCCCCCAATTTTTTGAACCCCCTTATGATTCATCACCCCCAAACTCAATCCCAGCCTTCCCTTTGTGGTATGGTACCTTGCAGTACAATTTCAGAGAGATCCATACACTTGAACACAAGTTATTGTCTGGAAACTAGAAAAATGTGTTTTTTGGCCCCTTTTTGGCCCCCAATTCCTAAACGTTTAGATCAATTACCTCCAAACTCAATTCCAGTTTTCCCTTTGTGATATGGAACCTTGTAGTACAATTTCAGAAATATCCAAACACTAACACACAAGTTATTGTCATGAAACTAGAAAAATGCTTGTTTTTTGCCCCTTTTTTTGCCCCTAATTCCTAAAACTTCGAGGCAATTACCCCCAAAATCAATCCCAGCATTCCCTGTGTGATATGGAACCTTGTGGTACAATTTCAGAGAGATCCATACACTTGAACACAAGTTATTGTCTGGAAACTAGAAAAAATGCTTATTTTTTGCCCCTTTTTGGCCCCTTATTCATCAACATTTTGGGCAATTACCCCCAAACTCAATTTCAGCTTTCCCTTTGTGATATGGAACCTTGTAGTACAATTTCAGAAAGATCCATACACTTACACACAAGTTATTGTCATGAAACTAGAAAAATGCTTGTTTTTTGCCCCTTTTTTGGCCCCTAATTCCTAATATTTTGAGGCAATTACCCCCAAAATCAATCCCAGCATTCCCTTTGTGATATGGAACATTTTGGTACAATGTCAGAGAGATCCATACACTAACACACAAGTTATGTCTGGAAGTTACAAAAATGCTTATTTTTGGCCCCTTTTTGGCCCCTAATTCCTTAACTGTTGGTACCATAACCTCCAAAATCATCCCCAACCGTCCTTTTGTGGTATTGAACCTTATGGTAAAATTTCATAGAGATCCATTCACTTAAACTAAAGTTAGAGTGCGAAAACCAATGTATCTTCGGACGACGCCAGACGACGACGCCAACGTCATACCAATATACGACCGCAAAAATTTTTGCGGTCGTATAAAAAAACCTTCGTGACTGACAAATAGATCATAAAATATTTCCATACACCAAATATAGTTGAACTATTGCATATAGTATTAGAAAAAAAGACCAAAACTCAAAAACTTAACTTTGACCACTGAACCATAAAAATGAGGTCAAGGTCAGATGACACCTGCTAGCTAGACATGTACACCTTACAATCATTCCATACACCAAATATAGTATACCTATTGCATACAGTATAAGAAAAACAGACCAAAACACAAAAACTTAACTATAACCACTGAACCATGAAAATGAGGTCAAGGTCAGATAACACCTGCCAGTTGGACAGTCCTTCCATACACCCAATATACTAGACCTATTGCTTATAGTATCTGAGATATGGACTTGACAACCAAAACTTAAACTTGTTCACTGATCCATGAAATGAGGTTGAAGTCAAGTGAAAACTGTCTGACGGGCATGAAGACCTTGCAAGGTACGCACATACCAAATATAGTTATCCTATTACTTATAATAAGAGAGAATTTAACATTACAAAAAATCTTAACTTTTTTTTCAAGTAGTCACTGAACCATGAAAATGAGGTCAAGGACATTGGACATGTGACTGACGGAAACTTCATAACATGAGGCATCCATATACAAAGTATGAAGCATCCAGACCTTCCACCTTCTAAAATATAAAGCTTTTAAGAAGTTAGCTAACGCTGCCGCCGGATCACTATCCCTGTCGAGCTTTCTGCGACAAAAGTCGCAGGCTCGACAAAAAGGAGTTCTTAATTAAGAAATAAACTGATTCGCTGAGCGCAGCTGGATACACCCGCAGAGGTCCAACCCTGAACAGTTGGGGCAAAAATGGACACAATATTCAAGCTTGATACAGGTCTGAATTTGGATTGTAATTAAATATTTGACATATTATAGTTTCCGAATAAATGTAGTCAAAGAACTTGAAATCGGTTATATGAATTTAATTTATATTCAATTAAAGATTTCTTGCTGTTGTGCAATACACTGTGCTGTTACGCAATACTTAATAAATCTTTTGCCAGACTATAAACAAATAAAGTTCAATTTCTTCTCAATGTCATCAATAGGGAGATTACATCAATAGCTATAAATAATTCACCAAAGTTTCATGTGAACTGCTTAAAGCATTTTTGAGTTGTTGTCCAAAAACTGGAAAATCCCCCCTTTTTTAATGAATAAAACCCCATAACTCAGAAATGTAAAATCTAAAATTTATAAAATTCTAAAGGGAGCTTAGGGATTGATAATTTAGTCTTAGATGCAAGATTTTTTTATCAGTTGTTAGTGGCTTTGAACTAGCTGTCAGTAAATGCGAGTACTCTCAGATCTGTACTTAGTGTCTTTTTGTTGTTTGGATGTACAACTACCCGGCCACGTCCACTTGTATTTGTATTTATCCATCTGATGAGTTAAGCCTCTTTCAACTGATTTTTATAGTTCGTTCTTATATTGTTCTGTTACACCACTGTCCCAAGTTGGGGGGTGGGTTGGGATCCCACTAACATGCTTAACCCCGCCACATTCTGTATGTACATGTATGTGCCTGTCCCAAGTCAGGAGCCTGTAATTCAGTGGTTGTCGTTTGTTTATGTGTTGCATATTTGTTATTAGTTCATTTTTTGTACATAAAGAAGGCCGTTAGTTTTCTTGTTTGAATTGTTTTACATTGTCATTTCGGGGCCTTTTATAGCTCACTGTGCGGTATGTGCTTTGCTCATTGTTGAAGGCCGTACTGTGACCTATAGCTGTTAATTTCTGTGTCATTTGGTCTCTTGTGGAGAGTTTTCTCATTGGCAATCATACCACATCTTCTTTTTTATATTTACATCAACAGATATAAACAATTCACCAAAGTCAAACTTAGTTGTAGGATCTCTGAAATTTTTTACACGGTACAAGTTTTTCTAATTGTTGGAGATTGTACGGTGACAGTAACACCTGTAACTGATTAACCCATTTCTTATGCACTTTGGTTCGATAAACTCACTGAATATCATACCACATCTCCTTATTTTTATATGCATTACAATTTACATGTGCATGTAATTGTAAATAATATTTATATATATATATCAGAACAAACTTCATTGCGTCACTTTTATTTATGCATCCTTTGGCACAATACAAGTTCTAAAATTACACAACATAAAACAACTAAATGTTATTTCAGATGAAAGTTTTGTTTCAGTTCCATTCATAGGATTTATTAGAATTTTGTATGTTTTGCCAAGTCCAATAATTAGCTCTATGTGCACATGTAAATTGGAGACTTTTCTATCCCGTATAAGAGTTTTGGAACTAATTCTGTTTCTTTTTTTTGAAAAAAGTGAGCAAACAAATCTTGCACATTTAAACCTTTGTCTGCCATCACACTGTCACCTGGATCACATAATTGAACTATTCTACATCTTTTAACTATTTCACAGTCACTGGTACAATATACATATGCATTAGAGACATAGTTGACTAAACCACCAGGTGTCGAACATACAAGTATTTTTAGTGTTTCTGTTTTTATATGATGAAAAGGTTGCCTGAGCTCTAGGAGCTTTAGATTTTATCACGGGATATTCTGTGCTGTCAATAATAATCCAAGTTGTAGGAAACTTTAATTTGAAGTTGGATGGCGAAAAATACCTGACTAAACCACTAAATGGCCAAGTGTTAGCCTCACACCACTGTTTAGACATACTGTGAATTCATTATTTTTCGTTGGATACCAATTTTCGTGGGATTCGTGGGTACCGGTGAACCACGAATTCAAATGTTCAACGAAATACATATTTTCAATAGGCTTTGTATACAGAGATTGGCAAAACCACGAAATCAAATATCCACGAATATGCAAGTTTTTAGCAATCCACGAAAATTGATACCCACGAAAATAAATGAATCCACAGTAAAAACAATCCATGTTTACACAATATTCTTAACACTAGTTTCAATCTAGAATCTAGACAGTTCAAAGTTGGTTGTATAATGCCTCAATTTCATCAAAGTCATAAAAAAACTGATTTTCAACTGACACCCTATCAATTTGAAAATATATGTATCTCAAACAATGTGCTGCTGGACCAAGTGTGGTCAAAACAAATAAAATTTAGTATACAACTCTAAACCGGTATAAAAATGCATGGCTGTGTCAATGGTCTTCATTTCAAAATTTTCTGCTGAAAATATAGGCATTGATGGTGTTTGCGTAATTCCATCTGTGAAGCTCAACATTAGCTCGGCAGTTGGTGGTGGACAGTCATAAATCCTGTCTGCAGTATGAATGACTTCTTCAGGAAAACCAACTTTACAATCAAAACTTTCCTCTAGATTTCTACTACAATATTCATCAAGTTTAGTTCTTTTGTTTTCACAGGAAACTGCCCCAATTTTTCTTTTTGCAGACGATTCAGTCTCTTGCTTGGTCCAGGAAAATAGGCTGGGAATGGCAGTAGACTTAAGTCTCTGTATGGTGGGTTTGCGCCCTGAAAAAGGTTATAAAACATTAGTTTTTTTATAATTAAATGAACTTCCATTAGCAATGCATACTTTGTACTACCTGGCAAAATATTAACTAGATTTATTCATTACAATCTGGATAAAACTATGTTAGCCTGATTCAATGTACATCAAAATGTATGTTATGTAAATCCAAAGGACAAACAATGAGAGACGTATGCAACAAACATACATTGTTTGTACCTAAATAAATATAATATAGATGAGAGCATGTCATTGTTTTGTTCCTGTCAACATTGTCATTGATATTTTTCAAGAAAGTCTATGAGGCATAGCTTATGCATTCCTGTCATTACTACATTAGCATAATTACTGCTAAAATAATTCTCAGTATGATATACCTCTTGTAAGAAATCATTATAATTGTAGCAAGCACCAAAAAATCTCAAACAGATCACATTGAATCGTAATCCAAAAAATTATGACGTCTTGAATTAACCACCCCCTTTTATTCTAAAACGATAATTGCGGTTGTAAACAGACTTTGGTTTATTCGCATGGCGATTACATATATAATTATATATTTTGAAAAGAAAATAGAGTTTTACCATGAATAGTTTCCTGCACATAGTCTTTTTCAGTAAAATGTGCCTTGCAAACAACAGCTGATTGAGATGGACTCCACGATTTCATCGTGTTCTCGTCCAATCTGCGTATGGGCCATGGCGTTGATCCAACTTTTCCTTCTTTTTAAGTCATTTGGAAATGCATGTCCTCCTCTTAAATGACATCCAGGTACACAACAACAAGTACTTGGCATCGTTTATTTATAAATGCAAATGTAATAGTTGCACAGTGCAGAAACCGGAAGTTGAAGAACAAGATCGGCTACCACGGCGCCACCTATTCGGGAACGATAATTTGCTACTTTATATAACTGCGAAATAACAATAACGTTAGACGGGTTGGCGTGCATAAACAGAAATGCGCTTTAAATTGTATAATATAATTCATGTTCAGTCGACCTTTAATTATTATATCAACGACTGAAATGATTCATAAACATCTAGATTGCAGATAACACTCGAAATTAACCCGACCTCTTTCCACACGGAATTCAAATAATTCTAGTTTGTCAATCGGTTGACTGCTTATAATGTAAAATACAAATATATCAAAAGTTTTTAAAACTAACAAAACACAATGATCGTTTCTCTATTTCCCAATGTAAATGAAATGAAACAAAAAACATTTTATATCACAATAAGAAGAGGAGAGAATCAACATTTTCCAGATCTACTTGGAGCCTAATGACCCCCCACGTAGATAAGTTAGATATCGCGGAAAGAAAGATTAACACGGCAACTAGAAAGGCATTAAAGCACTGCCTTTAAAAAAATGGAAGTGTATAATGTACCTTCACAAATGCAGTTAAACAGGCATAAAAAAGTTGATAAAAAACCCTGATCAAAATTTCCCCAGATATGACTCCCCAAGTTCATTAAGTTTATGTATATGCTCTGTTACCATGAGCTTAACCATGCAGTTTCTAATATGCACTGTTTAAATTTAAATATATCACTATTATAAATTATGTCAAAAAGTTCTCCACAGAATTGTTTTTGCTCTCTACTAACCACACTTTTTTTAAAACCACACATATCTTTATATACAATCGTAGGGAAGTTTAAACATATTTTTTCACTTACATTGCAAGAACGACAACTTTCCACACCATAATGTTTCCCTGTAGAAATTTCTCCACATACTTTACATATTCCTGGTATTGCTATAATAAAAATATTAATTTGAATACAATTATGGCTTCTAGTAAACTGGAGACTCCCAGGTTCCTGAATCACTGATCAGGCAAAAATGAAAGTATGCAGCATTAAAACCTTCAACAACAACAGAAGCCACTTTCCACACAGGTTATAATGGTGACCAGGTTTGATCCAGATCCACTTGAGAACAATACAATCAACTGTCCAAATAACAGCAATAGTGCTTTTCTGACATTAAATTAACTCCCGTTTTCACATGCGTTCAAAATAAAAATTTTCTAAAATCCAGTCCTGCTGATCATTTTTGCTCTTTGCAAGTTGATAAAAAATTAATGGTAAAAATTGTCATTAAAGAGGATTGACTCCTATATGGAGTTGTCCAACAGTTTTAGTCAAAATAGAATGAAGGTAGATCATGATATTCTGTACATTAGAGCCTATCTATAAGGGTATAAAAATATAATGGTCAATATTTGCATATTAACCCCATGTTCTATTTTTAACCTTGGTCATTATTGGTGGTAGGTTGGTTGGCTGGTAGGATTCTTTGGACCCACATTTTAATCTGAAAACAAGTTACCCCAATGCAAGGACAGTTTGTGGTCAAGTTTGGTTCTAATTGACACAGTTATTCAAGTGGAAATTTTTGTAAAAGATACCTGAAGAAGATACAGAGATATGACTTGCATAAATGCAATTTTGATAGTAAAATGCAAATGTTGAAATTAAAATGGCAATAATGTAACATGTAAAATATGCAAAACATTCAGTCAGCAATTTACATATTTTCTAGATGGAATTTTAATTGCTGAGCTTTGTTGTCTCTTGGCCTAAGCAAGCCCCAAAAAGACTGTCAGAATTCCAAGAAATCGTAGACTTGTTGACTTGGTGACCACGTGTTTACATTATAGTCATGATAGTTGACATGTTGAGAGTGTGGGGATTAAATAATGATAACTGTGGTTATACTACAAGTCTTTGCAATCTAACCCACTAATGTTTGAGGTTGTAACTATGCTGATTATTGTTTTATGTGTGTGTACTTTTTCTTACGTTTTTTTCTTTTCTTTCCAGACTTTGATGTTATATACTCCTGTTTAATATCTGGACTTTGTGTAATCTCTAATTTCTCATTCATGGAATCATCTGCAAAACAATAAAATAAATTGCTTTTTTGCCAAGGCAATAAAATATATATATACATGTACACAAGTTTTCAGCCTCTTGCAAACAAAAAAATAGAGGCTTTAAAGATCCTAAGTCACCCACCTGTATCTTCAGGTTGCAATTCTGTAAATATAGACAATGCAATTTCCCAAAGGAACTCCCTTTGTGGCTAAAACTGTGCCACTTTTACTGTGAAGTTTCGTGAAAAATTATATCCCAGAACAGAAAGTTGATATGCACTACTATTTTATTCAAAGGTCAAAATATAGGGCTGTGCGGCATATTTTCAACATTTATATGCCCTGAACTTCTAAGAGTTTAAACTTATACTAAAATTCTATACTACCCCTACCTCCATTTTTGGACCTCCTAAGAATTAAATTTTAGTCACTACCATGTTTTTCTATACCAGTAAGGAATATAACTCTATAGGGTTATTACAGAAAAATAACATACATTTGTTATTGTGGACTAAAAAATCAAAGAACTGTGATAACTTATGCATGTTATATGTTTCAAAGGGACAATATACATCATTAGTTTAGTTAAAATGTATAAAAGTTCTATTGATACTACTTTTGTCTATATGTATACTTAACTATTGAAAGATATAACAGTTCATAGTTTGCCAATTTTGCATAGTACACCTATATGTTATTACAGAAAAAATATGCCTGTAATAACTAAAGGGTGTTATCACAGCTTCTCTATATCACTTCAAAGCATTTGCTCAGACATACATCATGCTTAATTACAATGTATTTTAATTTATTGTAAGAAATAATGACCAGAGCATGTAACTAGGTTCTGCGCAAGTTTCTCAGTGATTCCCTAGTGTCTTATATAATAAGTTAAATTCCTTTAATAACTAAGCCTTGTTATTACAGCTAAGTTTATCCCTTAAAAGCCTCGTCTCATTGATTTACCATGGTTAATCAAAAATGTATTAATCTAATTAAAAAATTAGTTATCAAGGCTATGCATTTAGTTTCTGCGCATAGTCTCAAGAGATCCCTAGATGCCACTATAATTGAAATAATTTTACAAATAACAAATATATGTTATTACAGATTTAGAAAATTTAAGGAATAAAGAGTAGACAACTCATGAAAGTATCTGTAATAACACACGCAAGTTATTTTCTGTAATAACCCTAGGCCTATAGAGTTATATCTCTGACTGTATACTGGTAATATTCCTAAGTTATGTCTCTATGAGATGAAACACAGAGATCATATCTGGGAACTAATACGTTAAGAAATTAACATATCTATGAATATTATATATCTCCCCAAAAGAGGCGTGGCTTGTGAAACAGCTGTATTTACAAAGTGCAACCTTCAACTGTGGACAAGTTTGGGTTAAAATCATCATTAAAAGGCAAAATCTCCACAAAGAGTTAACTGACAATTTCAGTCATGTTGTCATATTTGTAGATCTTGTCCTGCTGATCATTTTTGCTTTTCAAAGTTTCTATCCAGGCCATCTATAAAAGTTTTCAAGATAATGTGATAATAAATGCTCGACAGGTCGCAGCAGTCTACAAATGCATAGGTCAAACCCTGAACAGTTGGGGCAAGTATGGACACAACATTCAAGCTTGATACAGCTCTGAATTTGGACTGTGATCAAATATTTGACACAGCATAGGTTTCTGCCACAGGATGAATGTGGTCTAAGAAATGAATAATATTAAATTGAACATTTACCTATTGTGGTCCAATATCCAAAATCTAAATACATGGTTTGATTCAGCATATCAAAGAACCCCAAGTGTTCAATTTTTGATGAAAACAAACAAAGTTTAATTTTGGACCCTTTGGACATCTATATGGACCAATTTAAAAAAAGGGGCCAAAAATCCATGATCTAAATACACTGTTAGATTCAGCATATTAAAAAACCCTAAATATTCAAGACTTTAAACCCCATTGAAACTGGTCAAGAAATAAGCAATTTATACAAAGTACATGTATTAGAATTAAGCAGTGATATAATTGTCTTTTTTCAAAACTACCTCTACCGTTTTTTATTGGGAAAAATGCATATTTTTTATTGAAATTGGGAAATTTGTATATTTTATTCTAAACACATCTCCGATTTTGCTGACCTTTGCGGTCTTTTTTGCACTGTTGTTTTCATGTATATTTTGGTTGTCAGACATTTTCAACCTGAAAGGTACTTTTCGGAGAGGGGAAAGAAACAGAAGCAATGATGGTACTTAATGCATTGAAAACCACTTGTGTTACAAATACCATGATGATTCTGATAAGAAAACCGGACCTCAAAAGTGCTTTCTAATATCAAATTAATAACATGAATACGATATTTACAAACATTACTACCAATGCCATCACTGTTTGGGGAAAATGTAAAACTTTTTGGACGGAATTTTAAGCCATTTTTTTTAGTAATTGGGAATTTTCTCTAGGGGAAAAAGCTGAATTTCTGCTGTAATTTGAGGCAAACAATATCACTGTTAAGTATTGTTTTTGGCCCCTAATTCCTAAACTGTTAATGCCATAACCCCCAATATCAATCCAAACCATCCTTTTTTGGTATAGAACCTTGTTTACAGTTTCATAGAGATCCATAGACTTATCCTCCAGAAACCACAAAATGTTTGCTTTTTGCCCAAAATTCAATGGTTAGGACCATAACCCCAAAATCAATCCCAATCTTCTTTTTGTGTTATGGAACCTTGTGGTACAATTTCATGGAGATCCATACAGTCATACTCAAGTTATTGTCAGGAAACAAAGTGTCTACAGACAACGACTATGACATCCCCATAACATTACAATTTCTAAAATAATCCCAAATACGTGAAAATATTAAATCAATTCCGCTAAAAAAAAATTATTCAAGACGAAGATATCATTAAAATACAACAAACTGGCAATCACTGTTCCTACGTTGTTTCACTGAGAATGCTGCAATAATAATGTAAACATGTTGAAATCACATGAGATCTTAACAAAACAGACTGCAGTAAATTTGAAAGTATCTGACCCGATTTGCTTTTCACCCAACAAAAATGTCTGTGATAACTGAAAGGCGTTATTACAGACATTGTTTCTTTGTACAATAACAGACGTGTTATTTCAACACAATTCATGACAGGAGGAGATAACTCTGTCAGAATTCCCACAATAAGAGTATGTCTGTTATTTTCTGTAATAACTTGTTTAAGCTATATACCCTTGACTGCTGAAGGAAATAAAAGAGACAATTTACACAATAACAAGGAAACTTTATACTTAAAACTTTAACTTTTAATATTATTTCACTATTCCACTATTCGAGTATTCCAGTACTTGAGTAATGGAACAAAGTACTTGAGTATTGATTCCACAAAATAATTGCCAACCCTAATTTTAACTATGGTTTGGTTAAGAACATGATGAAGTTGAATACAGTAAAGATTAGGAAAAACAATAATGTGAACCACATTGTAATTAACATTCAGACAAGGTGAGGTATTATGTATTATTATACTTCATGTCAAAATGCCAGATTTTGATTGGTTAATACAAGGGAGACAATTTACTCTATCCTATGGCAAATACTCTAGTACCTTTCACAGAGATGCTTGCTCAAGTGTGCGCTTTAATAAATATGGATGATTGTTATGTACAAGACGACAGTTTATTACTTTGAATTTGAAATTTAATAGATAGTAATAACAGAACATTCAGTATAATAAATTAAATAACACACATCTGAGAGAGTGATAGAGAAGATTGGTACCTCTCGAAAAGACGTTGTCAACCTTGGCTTTGCCTCAGTTGACAATGTTTTCTCAGGGTAACAATCTGCTCTAACACCCTCTCAGCTATGTGTTATTTATACACTGTGAATTCATTATCACTCGTGGAATACCAATTTTCGTTGATTTCTTGGGTATGGGTTAACAACGAGTTTAAATGTTCAACGAAGTATACAAAATCAAATATTGACGAAAATACATTTTTTCCTCAATCCATGGATATTGGAAAGCATGAAAAATATACAAATCCACAGTATAAGAGTGTAATTACTTACTTAGGTCAACATCAATTTTATGAGATCTTTTGCAATGCTGTCTGTAGCCCATTCTTGTTGTAAATGACTTGGGACATAATTTACAATTGAATGTCATTTTTGATACATGCCCAGAAGGTGTAGAAACTTCTACTTTAAGCATTGGTTTGATAGTCTTCCTCTTTGGAGATGTTATATCCACATTTTGTTTAGGAGTTTGTTTGTCCATTTCTCTTTTGCCTGGAGATGTCATACCATCATGATGTTTAGCTGTCTTCTTAGTAATCACTGCCTTTATTGGAGACAAGATATTTTGCTTAGAAGTCTCTTTTTTGCCAGGAGATATTTTTCTATCACCAGCTTCATCCACATAAATTGATATTTTAGAATTTGATGTAACACTACCACTTGCTGGACTTCTAGCGTGTGATGTCATTTTATTTCTTGTTGAAGCACTGTTTTCTGTTGGAGTTATTACTTTTAAATTAGCACTGTCATATGTGGGGAAATTTCTTGGAGCAGAAGGTGTCTCATTTTTTGAGGTAGCACTTTTTGATCGATTACTTTTGTCAGAGGACTGCAGAACAGAGTCTCCAGATGGAGTTTTACACCTTGATCTATTACTTTTGTCTCCCGACGGTGTTTTACACCTTGATCTATTACTTTTGTCTCCGGACGGTGTTTTACTTCTTGATCGAGCATGTTTGTCTGATAACTTTAAACCACAGTCTTCAGTTAGAGTTTTGCTTCTACACTGATAGCTTTTGTTTCCTAAAGTATTTTCTACAGAAAGAATTTTACTTTCTGAACCATCACATTTATCTGATAATTGCTGTGGTCTTCCACTAGATAGAGTTCTACTTCTTGAATGAACTTTTTTAGTTGAGGTTGAAATACAATTTTCATCAGACTGGGTTTTAGCTGGTTCAAATTCAAATTTCAAATGAATGTTGTCAACTGGTAAAGTTTTATTTCTGATCTTTAAACCCTTATCAAACTGTATCTTACTCTTTTGACTAGAACATTTTGTAGGCGATAAACTTCTTGCTCTGACAGAAGTGTTTTTCTTATCAGACTTTTGTGTCATGCTTTCTCTTTGTTTCTTTCTAATAATGTTCGTCACACCAGCTCTCTCTTCTTTTTTTAATGAACTTATAGAACTGCTTATTCCTGGTTCAGTCCCTATTTCCGACTTTTTAGTCAAAGGCTCCTTTCTTTGACTAGATACTTTTGTTTTAGATTTTGCACATCCAGAATCAGCAGACAGTGAGCGTCCATGCATTGAGGATATTTTACATGTTTTTGAAGGAGATGGTTTTTCTTTTTCTTCACCACCTAAAGTAATATAATTCAAAAACATTTGATAATATTAACAACCGAGTCCATATGACACCATGCCCTTCTCATATTATCCCATTTATGTGTTCAGTGAACAGCGAAATCTGGGTGAACATTTGACATATATTTCAAAAAGTTCAAAGCATAATAATGATGAGTACTATGCAAAATATGTATGAAGCAAAGTGAATGATCTGATTTTAATCAGCTTTAAAAATGTTAAAAAGAGATTTTAGAACATCAGTGTTAAAATATGGCAAAAGCACAACAACAAAAATATGTGTCAGAAATTGTAAATAACAAAAGTATGAGTAAATCTCACAAAAATTCTGTGCAACTTTCCAGTTATCCTGTATTTAAAAGATAGTACTTTTACTTATATTTTTAACCCGCACTACTGCCTGGCTATTTGAATTTTGAAATGAAAATTGTGGCTTATACATTCTGGATTTCTGTATTTGAAGTTTGATATAATGTACACTTGGTATCATACAAAAGCACAACAAAACATGTGTACATAATCAAGGTCTTTTAGAGAAGAAGAAGTTATAAAGGAAAACAAGGTTACGATTCCGCACTTGTAATATCCAAATGTAGAAACTTTAAGTCAATAGTATTATTCATAAGACTATTCCCATAAAAAGTCAGTCAATGTATCATTTATTTTTTTATCAAAGGTATAGTTCCAACTAGCATGGTTACAAAACATGTTGACAGAGAAAAATTTAGCTTAAAATTGTAAAAATATTTAGTTAAAAATAAATGTTTTAAACATCAGAGCTAGTGACTGTTTTCTGTCCCTTGCTTTTTCAAAACTCTTCCAAAAATTAACACCTTGATTTGTAATTTTAAGAATACTGTGTTTAACATGGAATAAAGATAGATCAGCTTGAATGAGAGTTCTTGTACAGAAACCTTTTTGTCTGAAGAAACAACCCCATAATACAATAAAACAGTTAAAATATGTGGTCCTACAAAATTTCTATGAAATATATATAAACGCTTACCATGTTTTAATCTCCAGTGCCTCTTCATATTATCAGTTCGTGAGAAAGATTTTTGACAATTTGGACAACCAACTGAAGCTTCAATTTCTGTTAAATTAAAAATCGGATAGGTTAATAAAATTTCATCTAAGTAGGCTAATATACAATGTACTACTATAACCTTCAGCACAAATGAGAGTGAAATAACAGAGTTCTTGAAAAGTATCAACATGGATCTTTAGACAGATTCAAAATTGCAGAAGCACCATGCATAAACCAAGTTGTGATCTTGATAAATTTGTATATGTTGTATTGGAGGGAAAATATTTGGGGTCGGTATTGGTTTTTGGGGTTTCCTTTTCTTTTTATTGGTGTGGGATGGGATAAATGATGGATATTGTAAAGTCTGCTGGAATCTATGTGAAATGATAACTGGCATCAGAGTTAGGAATATATATATGTGACTTAAAAAATACTATATGAAGAATATAAAAAATAAATTGTTTAGAGAAAAATTAAAGGTATTTCCACCTCAAATTCAAATAATGATGATACATGTATTTAATGTATTCATCACTACTGTAAGCATTTATTGGAAAATATACCATTAACAGCCAAGTCTCCTGCTAAGAGGAACATAAAATCTGTTTCGGAAGCCTATCATTTTGAGAAGTAATAACTACCTTATTTCATAAATGGAATATATTCAGAAGAGACATTTCGACAAGAAAAATAATTTTGAACTTTTTTTTTAATTCTGATTTACCCTTTATCCAAGACACAATACAGCAAATAATCAGCTCATTGTTTTAATCCAAGTGTATAAATGTGCATGTCTGTTTAAATCTTTAAAATACAGCATGTTGTGGCTGTTAATATTTTTTTAACATTAAATGTTTTGTATAAGAGATGGTGACAGCTGTACGCACAAGTTGCACAATAAGTGACCTAGCTTGTAGTTCTTAACAAGTTCTAGGGTAATTTTATCTAGAGTTTAAGGCTATTTTGCAATTCAAACAGTGGAAACTTGCTGATAATTTAAATGCAGTGTCATTTTCTTCAGTTCAGAAACGTCTAGCCTGTAATCAGTGTTCTTCCCAGATTTTGGAATTGATGGGTGACTTTCACCCATTTGACTAATTTCATTGTCTTGTGTCAGTCAAGTCAGTGGGTGACTTGTTTTCAACATCAAGTAGGTTCAGACCAATAATCCAGTTGAGATATAATAATCTATTTGGGGAATATTACACTGAAACTCCAGAGAAAAAGTAATATGAAATGTTTTTCGTTGAAGCAAGACAAAAAGTTTCATAAAATTCCATGAAGGTTTGACAAAGCTATTGATGTCTGGAAAACTTTAACCTGAGAGAGTATCTTAATGTTGACTGTGTAAAAAATTGTAAACATGTATATGTTAAATGCTAAATAAATGTGGATTGTGTCCACATGTGGACACAGATGATGCCCCCGCTTGCATATCATATAGTTATAAAGGGACATAATTGAAGAACGGTAAAAGTGACGCCACCCAAATTTGAACTTGATCTGAGTTTTGTGGTAATAAGCATTGTGTGTAAGTCTCATATCATTTGGTTGAGGCTAACTTAAGTAGAGAACAGAAACTAAAAATTCATCAATTTTTCTATTTGTAAACACGCATAACTCTAGAACAGTTGTGTATAAGTTTTATAACATTTGGTTGAGACAAACTAAAGTTAGAAAACGGAAACGAAAAATTCAGCAATTTTTATGTTTATAAAGGGACATAACTCAAGAATGGTAAAAGTGTCACCACCAAATTTCGCACTTAATCTGTATTATGTAGAAATAAGCATTGTGTATAAGTTTCATAACATTTGGTTGATGCAAACTAAAGTTAGAAAACGGAAACAAAAAATTTGTACTTGATCTTAGTTTTGTGGTAATGAATATTGTGTATAGGTTTCATAATGTTTGGTTGGGGCAAACTTAAGTTACAGAAAGGAAACTTAAAATTTTGCAATCTTTCAATTTATAAAGGGGCATAACTCAATAATGGTTAAAGTGATACTACCCAAATTCAACTTGATCTGTGTTTTATCAGTGGAAGTCAAAATTTAACATTGCATTGTATAAAGCATTGATTGTAGTTGATTCAACTATAATCATGGACAAAGGAAGATAAATCCAATTTTAATAAAATGCTCCGCAGGGCGCAGCTTGATACGACCGCAGAGGTCGAACCCTGAACAGTTGGGGCAAGTATGGACACAACATTCAAGCTTGATACAGCTTTGCATTTGGATTGTGATTAAATATTTGACACAGCATAGGTTTCTGACACAGAATGAATGTGGTCTAAGAACTTAAAAATTTTAAATTGGACATTCACCTATTATGGTCCAATATCCTAAATCTAAATACATGGTTAGATTCAGCATATCAAAGAACCCCATATATTCAATTTTTGTTGAAATCAAACAAAGTTTAATTTTGGACCCCGATTTGGACCAACTTGAAAACTGGGACCATAATCAAAAATCTAAATACATGTTTAGATTCAGCATATCAAAGAACCCTAAGAATTCAATTATTGTTAAAATCAAACTAAGTTTAATTTTGGACCCTTTGGACCTTAATGTAGACCAATTTGAAAATGGAACCAAAAATTAAGAATCTAAATACACGGTTAGATTCGGCATATCAAAGAACCCCAATAATTCAATTTTTGATGAAATCAAACAAAGTTTAATTTTGGACCCTTTGGACCTCAATGTGGACCAATTTAAAAACGATGCCCAAAATCCAAAAACTAAATACACGGTTAGATTCAGCATATTAAAGAACCCCAAGAATTCAAGAATAAAACCCCATTGAAATTGGTCAAGAAATAAGCAATTTATACGAAGTATCTTCTTTTGCACAATACTGTGCAATTAAATATTTCTTGCTATTGCGCAATACTGTACAATTGACAATTTCTTGCTATTGCGCAATATTGTGCTATTGGATATTTCTTGCTATTGCGCAATACTGTGCAATTGAAGATTTCTTGCTATTGCGCAATACTGTGCAATTGAAGATTTCTTGCTATTGTGCAATACTGTGCAATTGAAAATTTCTTGCTATTGCACAATACTTATTATATAATAATTTACACATCCTGCTTGGTGTGTATCTCCTACCATATCATTATTATTTGATTTTAAATATAAATCAGAAATAACCAACTTAAAATGGAAAATTTTAAAAGAAAAAAAAAATCCCCCCCCAAATTTTTTAAACCCCCTTATGATTCATCACCCCCAAACTCAATCCCAGCCTTCCCTTTGTGGTATGGTACCTTGCAGTACAATTTCAGAGAGATCCATACACTTGAACACAAGTTATTGTCTGGAAACTAGAAAAATGTGTTTTTTGGCCCCTTTTTGGCCCCAAATTCCTAAACGTTTAGGGCAATTATCCCCAAACTCAAACCCAGCTTTCCCTTTGTGATATGGAACCTTGTAGTACAATTTCAAAAAGATCCATACACTTACACACAAGTTATTGTCCTGAAACTAGAAAAATGCTTGTTTTTTGCCCCTTTTTGGCCCCTAATTCCTAAAATATTGAGGCAATTACCCCATCATCAATCCCAGCCTTCCCTTTGTGGTATGGTACCTTGCAGTACAATTTCAGAGAGATCCATACACTTGAACACAAGTTATTGTCTGGAAACTAGAAAAATGCTTATTTTTGGCCCCTTTTTGGCCCCCAATTCCTACACGTTTCGGCAATTACCCCCAAACTCAATTCCAGCTTTCCCTTTGTGATATGGAACCTTGTAGTACAATTTCAGAAAGATCCATACACTTACACACAAGTTATTGTCATGAAACTAGAAAAATGCTTGTTTTTTGCCCCTTTTTTGGCCCCTAATTCCTAAAATTTGGAGGCAATTACTCCCAAAATCAATCCCAGCATTCCTTTTGTGATATGGAACCTTGTGGTACAATGTCAGAGAGATCCATACACTAACACACAAGTTATGTCTGGAAGTTACAAAAATGCTTATTTTTGGCCCCTTTTTGGCCCCTAATTCCTTTACTGTTGGTACCATAACCCCCAAAATCAATCCCAACCTTCCTTTTGTGGTATTGAACCTTATGGTAAAATTTCATAGAGATCCATTCACTTAAACTAAAGTTAGAGTGCGAAAACCAATGTGTCTTCGGACGACGCCAGACGACGACGACGACGCCAACGTCATACCAATATACGACCACAAAATTTTTTTTGCGGTCGTATAAAAATTACTTGATATTTAGAAGAAAATAAAAATTTTGCAATTTTTCCATTTATAAAGGGGCATAACTCTAGAACGGTTAAAGTGACGCCACAAAAATTCAAACTTGATCTGTGTTTTGTGGTAATAAGCATTGTGTATATGTTTCATAACATTTGGTTGAGGCAAACTCAAGTTAGAGAACGGAAACTAAAAATATTGCAATTTTTCCATTTATAAAGGGGCATAACTCTAGAACGGTTAAAGTGACGCACCAAAATTCAAACTTGATCTGTGTTTTGTGGTAATAAGCATTGTGTATATGTTTCATAACATTTGGTTGAGGCAAACTCAAGTTAGAGAACAGAAACCAATTTTGGGACATACATTCGTACGTACGTACAGACGGACAAAACTCTAACTTGGCATTATAATTAGAAAGATCATATCATAGGGAACATGTGTACTAAGTTTCAAGTTGATTGGACTTCATCTAAAACTAACTTGACCAAAAACTTTAACCTGAAGTGGGACAGACAGACGGGAGAACGTACGGACAAACAAACTGACGGACGAACGGATGCACAGACCAAAAAACATAATGGCCCCAGGTGGGGCATAATAAAATGCTCCGTGAAGAACAGCTTGATACGACTGTAGAGGTCTAACCCTGTACAGTTGGGGCATGTATGGACACAACATTCAAGCTTGATACAGCTCTGAATTTGGATTGTGATTAAATAATTGACACAGAATAGGTTTCTGACACAGAATGAATGTGGTCAAAGAACTGAAATAAAATGCTCCGCTGGGGCACAGCTAGATACGACCGCAGAGGTTGAACCCTGAACAGTTGGGGCAA